GTAATCAACATACGAATAGAAAGTCCTACATGTGAACCACTCTCATCATATCATTAGTTCGCATACATTATGTTTGGCTCTCACAGTCTGGGTAACGAAGTGATAGTGGGCTGTTTAACTAACTACATTTTGAATTGTGTCGTTAGGTTTTCATTGTCTCACACTTGTGATGTAATTAGGACCACACAAGTCACTGAGTAAACATCTTTTTATAATTCTAATGCAAAGCTGTACACCTATATAGAGGTTTATGTGTACAATGTTAATTGACAACAAAGGTCAGAAGTTATTCTCAGTTAGTAACAATGTGTGAAAAACAGAGAATGATCCTACTTTATTGAAAGGGTCGACAAGTAATTAGTTAAGTGATCAATAGTCATTTGGAAATAATTGGATTGAAAATGTGTTTTAAAAGGTCATAACAGACGGAAGGAGGACCTAGAATAGTCAATAGCTGAATTATAAAGCCTATTATTACTGCTGGTCATGCAGTATCAGCAAAGACTTTATTCAGAGTCACACATAAAGTACAATTAAGGCGTTCAAAACGACTTTGATCACATCATCATACAGCTGAAGCTCTACCAATCCATAAGGAAAAACCTGGTCTGTGTGTTTTCGGAGACGTTTTATCCAGTTTCTTTTACTACCATAGTCTAAGGATGAAATTTAGTTTCCTCAAATATTGTGTGATAAACTATACATACACACATACAGTCCTTTTGTTTTCGTCTTCGATCTTTTGTTCTCTTGTTTTCTATCATTTATTTCCGAATGATTTGTCATCGCTTGACTATTTAGTTGTCAACTCGTTCTGTAACGAGAGAAGACACGGCCCAAGCAACAGATCGTTTATTGAGAAAATCAATAGGTATTTATAGATTTTTATGTGCATTACTATTAGCGGAGAAGCAACGTCTTCTGATTGGTTGTTTTCTTGCTGAAGATTATTCTGTTATCTCTTTGTGGCCGTTTCTCAGAAAATCAAGTCATATATCTGTGATTCATATTTCCACACTTTAACTCCGCTGTGATTGGCTGGTGACTTTCTCAAGGTTAAGCTTTGTTATTGTTTTTCTCATGACCCTGATTCGGGACGTGAACATTGACGTAATTTGTTGTCTACAATTTTCGCTTGCAGACAGCTCTGACCACACTTCGATATAGTAAGACTATTCGCTATTTTTGCATACATTTTTATTTCTCATACACTTTGACTTATTATATTACTTAACTGAGAATAACCTCTGACCTTTGTTGTCAACTAAATAATTATATATATATATATATATATAAACCATTGAAGTGAAGTTAGTAAAAGAGATCTCTTCGCTGACTTATATAATCTTACATCTGATTGATCTCATGCTAATAATAGGCAGAAGTATTCTGGACTTTGGAAATCATGACACTGTATAAACCTGTTATCAACAAGTACAAACTATGAACATCGGTAGAGTTATAGTGGTAACTCTGTTTTATCACATTTGCAAGTGTCTAATTAAATAACCAACTAACTAATGCAAAAATGCATTTAATTTGTGTATTATTTTCAAAATAATGTGATTAGCATTTTAGTTGAAAATAAAAGATGTTGGTGACTCATTGAAATTGATTTTTCACACAATCACACACACACACTACATATGCTCAGGTGGCATTTACATTGCTGAAAAAAATATCTACTAAAATTTATTGATGTCATTTTGTGTAAGATGGTGGTGACTTCGAGTTTATCTTAACTGGTTAATTTTTAAAACTGAATGTGTAAACCGAATCTCTTTTGAAATACTAAATAAACTTTTGGACTTGTTCAATCCGGGAAAATAATTACAGAACTTTATCGATAAGCGAGGCAATTGTAAATGACGTCAAGAAAGCAAACGAAATAACAAGGTGACATGTATACTGCTGATTGAAACGAATACTTTGAACCCACTTACGTTAAGCAGTAGTGCTTGCTGGCTATATCTTGTATGTTTTCATTGAAGTTTAGTAATAAAAATGAGTTTAATTTCCAGAAAATAAGGTTACTAAGACACAAATGAATGCAAGTCACTTAATTCAAGAGAAAACAGTCATGTTGACTGCTTAAAATCATATTTTCTTCAAAATACAGGGTTCTGATCCCTCTAGTCATACTGCAAGCTTACGCGCAATGGACTTTTCTTCGTTCTGACAAAATGATTGTAATTCATTTAGTGTTGTCCGGCAGCCAACATGTTGAGTTTTGTTCTGTTAGCTGTTGTTATGCGTCATCGTCAAATAAATTAATTATCAGTTACCCATAACCACTAATTTATTTGTATGGATGTAATGTGTTGATGGTAGTGGTTGATTTTCAACTGCGTCTTCTGTTATTCCGAACACTTTTCAGCTATTAGGTATAACTCAGTCATTGAAAACCAGGGAGTACTGGACAGCTGCTGTTTCATCCTAGTTTGGGAATCATCGGCAGTGCGCACCCACTGGGATTCGAACCCAGGACCTTCCGGTCACAAGGCAAGCTCGTATACCATACAGTCCTGTAACCGGAAGGTCCTGGGTTCTGAACTTGCCGGGTGTGTACTGCCAATGAGTCCCAAACTATGACGGATTAAACAGCTGTCCAGTACTCCCTGGTTTTCAATGGTTCTCTAACTGATATCAATCCGTGATCAACTCGTAAAAGCATAATTAACCCTTACAAACCAAACTATAGAAAATAACTCAGTCAATTTGCATTATTGGTCACTACATAATACCTATGTTTTGTTACCGCCATACACAAACTGTTGTACAGAGACGCTTTAGTATACAGCAAAGATCGATATCTGACGGTGAGAAGTAAGCCAGTAGAAAATCGTGAAAATAGACTGTGTGCTTGTTGATACTGTGTGTGCGTAAAACCTTAAGGAAATTGGTTTTCGGATTCAAGTTTGTACTAAAAACTAGTCATTATGACACTAGTTTCTCTCCAAAGACTAACCTATGTATTTAATACATTCCTTCGGAGGTTTATTATCACCGGAGTATCTTAGCAATTAAGTTTTTTAACCATAACATTGATTAAATTAGGTTCAGGTCTGTGATTCTGCGGCATCAGTTCCTTCGATGTCGCAGAAGCATTTGACACCGGCTCGGACTGTATACTACCTGATTACACTGATCGTGTCTTACTTCTGGTTAAGTTAAACAGGAATTATACAGTGACCTATTTGTCTGTGTGTATGATTGAGACGCTGTGGTTGATTGTAAATCTTTATTGATCTTTTTAAATTTGCTATAGCATTAAGTTGTATCTGTTTTAAATTTAAGATGGAATAGTTTACCACTTATATACTAAAAAGCATTTAATAACGTAATATCTAACCATGGTGTAATTGTCATTATAACGAACAATCTGTCTAAAATAGTACGAAGGTCAGTAGACAATCAGTCGGGGTTGCTAGCCTCATGGCTAACCTTCTCTCTTTACCGGTCTTATCGCCGGCTTAGCAAGGTCAAGGGTTACGTCGGTCAGGAATCGAAACCCGGACCACATGAGTCGTGGTTGGCGAGCGTTCTACCTCTAAGCCACCGATGCACTCATTTAGCAAAAAGTCAGCAGTACACAGTGATGCTGCAATATTTATTTTCTCTCACTTTTGCCCTTTTGAAAATTGATTTAAAATGTCGATTATAAGTCTCACTAGACTGATTGGTGAACAAAGAATATTCTTCTGACAACTCCCTTATCAGATTCTACAGTGATATACTCATAAACAGTTAAAGAATTATTGTTATTGACAGCATTGATATTTTTCTAAGTAACGTAGATTCATCAAGATTAACAGATTAGAGTGTTTGTGTGTGTATACGGTAATATGCATAAATATAACACTAAGTTGAATATAAGTAAAATTAGTAGAAATAATACATACTTATTACTTTATAGAATACACAGTAAGCCAGGGTAGCAAAAGTGGCTGATCCTGTTTCTTTTGTTCTCAAAGTTCCGGTTGTTTTAAGCGAATTGCAATGACCTCTGCTGTTTTTAGAGTATTCGGTACCTAAACACTTTTACCATCTTATTTAGTATCAGGTAGACGATAGAAACAGATTCTTCTCTGCGAACTTTATGAGCTGTTTGAACTATGTAATATGGTATCGAAATGTTAATGGATTTTACTGCTGCTTTATTTAGACACACTGGTGTCCAAAGAACATTTAGGTTCCTAGAGCAACAGTTGATATAAATGGCTCTACGGGAACAAGTGAATCAATAGATACAAGATAGAGGCGGCTAACCTAGGTACTTCATCTTTCAGTTACGAGATCACAACCAGACACGTGGGAAATGTAGGCTGTGGCTTACGGACACTAAAAGTTCTTTGAATTGATTTTCCTAACTTGTTGATTATAACTTCACTTGGCACGTCAACTTCGAATTGTAGTTGCATAAACAGGCTTCTTGTTCATAGATAAAAAACATATTTTTTTAGACTTCCTTGACCATGTGTTTTCTTATGAACTTTTCTAGATGAATATTCTCAATTAAGGTGTCATATGCAGTCTTACGTTCATTTTCAGTCACGGCTTCTGGGTGTATAGCTCTGACCCTGTCGCTGAGTAGTTTCCTTACCAAATTTACTTTTTTTACTGGGGAGAAACAAAACTATGGAAATGTGTATATATTATCCTATCTATGTACATTTCTTTTTAATTGCTAATCTGGTCTTCTTATGAGAAAGACATCCAAGAAGGCTGTTTCCCCATGGGATCATCTTCCCATGTGAATTTGACAGCTAGATATATCTCGGTAAATTGAACTGATATTGTCAGCTGAGTTGTGTTTGTTCACACTATTAGTCTACATTAGAAATTAGATTCTGTTATGTTATCTATTGTGTTATTGTATAATACTATATACATGTAAAGAAGTTTATATATCTCTTTGATTGTTAATTCATAATTTTATTCTTATCATACTAATAGACTTTATTCTGTTTGTTGTTGTTTTTTAAAATTTCTTTCCTTAGATTTTTGCATTTGATCCAATAGACAATGCTAGATATATGCGTCCTCTATTGTATAATCCTGGAATACCTGTTCCTTCATCGGATGGTGAAGCTCCCCAGTTTGTCTGATGACACAATTATATACGCGTTTGTCTATTTCTTTCTGACAAGTTGCATAACAAAAAAGAAAAAATACCTCGTCAGTGTAGAGAATAACACCTCTTCTTCTTCTTCTTCATAAAAGCCTTCTAATTTTCTGCCTTCATTGTATACTCGCGTGTCGGTGTGCACGTGCATGCATATACACTTGTGAAATTGTTTCATATGAGTTGTCCATATGTCCATATGATCATTCTGTAGTCTATAGTGTACTATTATTATATCTGAGATCACACATTTATATATATATATATATATATATACTCTTTAATTTATCTCTTTTGTGAGGATTGCTTTCCTATTCTTTATATTCTTCTCTTCACGCACGTGTGCTGATACTGTTTTCACTTTTTTTTTTACCTCATTCCAAAGTTGTTTTGTTTTTTTAAAAAAAATGCAAATATTACGTATATACTCATAATTTGCCTTACTTAGTTCTTATATCTAGTAAATATATCCTTACTTCGTCTTTTGGCTGTTGCATTTTAACACTCAATTTATTGTAACTGTTAAATACACACACACATGCATACACATTTGCCCATTCTGTTCATCAAGCACATATATTCGTATATGATTTTTATGTGTGTGTGTGTATGTTGACATTATCATCTCTACCCGACATCCATGTTATTCACTACTCTACAATGTTTTTTGAGAGCATAAAGACTTCATTACTGTATCATTTGTTATTACTTACTACTAATGTTGCTGCCATTTTCGTCGCCATCATTGTTGTTCTCTTTCTAGAGAGATTGTGATTTCTGTGATATATCGATACATTGCCATAGCTCCTTCGCCTTACACATTCTCACTGTTCTGCCTCTCATTGTTGTCGTCATTTTTTCAAACAAATCACTCATGGTACAAAGGGTATATATATATAAACACGTACGCACGCAAGTACGCACATGTTTCCCCCTATTTTATTATACCATTCGCTTTTCTTATATGTAAATGCTGTATACTTATTTGTAACCCCTTGTTTTCAAATCTTTCGCCTTTATTGAAAAAATGATTATCCAGTCAGTAATAAGCCTAAATGAATTTCTAATACACTTGATTTTTCTTTTGTTAGAAATCATTCTGTACCTATTATTATTATTGCAATTTATGTAATTTCCAGAATTTTTTAAACAGCTATTTCTGTCTAAGAACTTTTCTTCTTGCCTAGCTGTCGTATGTTATTTCACATCCATTGGAACTTGTGTTTCTCTTCTACTTGCTTTCTTGGTGTGTGTGTGCGTGTGTCTGTTACTTAGATAACAGGCGCGGTACTGCGAAAGTATCATGAATGAAATTTTGATTGTGTGTGTGTGCATTATATTATGAATTTTTCTGTGTAATCAATGTGTACTTACTTATATAATGTGAATATTATACGTATATATACTTGATCTTTTCTTCTAAGTCAAATCCAGCATATTAGGCAGTTTTCGTTCATATTTCTCACATGTGCATCGTCATATTTTACTTATTTTATTTAAACGCAGAAAAAACTTGGTACAATATGGCACCAAGAAAGATGCGTCACACAATAATAATAAAACAACATAGATTAAAAGTAAAAATATAAGGAGAGAACGGATAAAGAACTTCATCTGGAAGGAAAACAGTCATGTTTAATAAGTTCAAACAGTATTCGTTAACTATCACCAGGAAGGGAAGAAAGAAGGAAATTGCAACACGTTCGCCATTGATTACGCTTCTTGGCCATATCCGATAACGTTTCGAGCCATCGATTCGAGCTATCTCGCGGACCCCAACCAGGGAGTCGTGACGCACCAACCGATGCTAATCTAGCATAAAAATCCTTCATCCCACGACGCCACGTCATGGACTGACCACCCCTCCGCCTTTTCTATCCCGTCCCAGGGCTAGCGAACAGAGACCTGTACGGAAGCCTCTGTGATGATATTCGCAGCCGTGTCCAAGCCACCGGAGCCGGTGTTTCCGGATGACGACACTCAATGAATGGTGATCTCCACTGTGTTCAAACATACGCCGCCGAACCTCAGAATGTCTCACGCGATGATGCCATCGGACGCAAGCAATCCTGTGGAGACAGCGATGATCGAACACACATAGCCGCCTCACATCCTCAGCTCGGATAGGCCAGGTTTCACAGGCGTAGAGCAAGACAGCCCGCACCGAAGCATTGTATACCCGACCTTTGACAGCCAGACTAACGTCGCGATGGCGCCAGAGGTGGCTCAAGTTGATGTATGCCACCCTAGCCTTCATTATACGGTTGGAAATCTCATCCGTCACTCCTCCGCCAGCACTCATAAGGGAAAGAAAAATTCCCAGTTCACCTTTACAGCTGAATTTAAACAATTTATGTTGTCTTATAACGTAACTCTATGTATATTTACTCATTCCTTTATCCGTGAAGCTTTATAATGCTTATGACATGAAACGATGAGTAAGAAAGAAATATATGTCATCTGCTTTGATGAATATATATCAGCAGTGGGATGGCACCATAAGCCTTTGATAGGTGGAATAAGACTCTAGGCTGTAAGATGAATTTAGTGATAGTTTATAGACATATATTACACTATGAAAGTAATATCATACATAACTGATTGAGTTTCAACATAGAACATTCTACAGAAGTGCAGCAGTTCAAGTTGTCACACTCCATGTAGCACAAATTGTTGAGAAAAGAGAAAATCAAAAGAACTTATCGGCAGAAGTGCACGGGAGAAAGAATAATAACATGGAAAAACATGAGGACATAATGGATCTGGGGGGATTACAGAGACTGAATGCATATTTGCCATTTGAGAAAGGTTTTGAGCTATGTGTCACTAACAGTCTTCAGTCACTTCTTGGCATCCTGGACAGCCTACGTGCCTCACACCAACTGTCAAAGACTTCGTCGATTGATGCCAGGTATTGGTTCGACTATCCCTATCTACTTTCCAACCTAATCCTGTGTCAGCTAACATTGCTCGACGAGGAAAACGATGGCTCGGAATGATTAACATATGTCCTACCCATGTCACTCGAAGTAGCTTCACAACTGCATCGATCGACTTGCCCTCCTTACCTAACACTATGCCTAACCTCAGTATTAAACACCATATTATGCCACTTAACACGGAAAAGACCGTTATTAGACTGGGATGCATGTATTTATTTATTTATTTATTATAGCTTGATTCCACACCGTATTTTCGGTACAAGTATGGAATTTTCAGCATGTGATATCGGTAGCCCAATTTTGCAGGCCGACCATAGATATCGGGTGTGCGCCGGCAGGGGATCGAACCCCGGACCATGTGCATGGTCGGCGAGAGTCCTAACCACTGTGCCACCGACGCACATATATAGCATAAAAACCTCTTCGAACTGTGCATACATACATAGACAATATGTTATGTCCACTCATCACAATTTTGTTGATTGATTTTAAAATGTCGATATTCAGTTAGTAATATTTTCAGCGGAGCTTTTAATAAAATTCTAGTTAACTCTATTAGGAGTTTAAAAACGACTAATTTTCTAAAAAGTGAGCTTCTTTGATGTTTCTGATTTTTACTATAAAAGTGTGATGACTAAGCATTCGAAAAATACGCCTCGGAATCTTAATATTTATGTCACCAAAAACTTTAAATTGTGTTTGTAAAGCCTTTAGAGTGTTGTTAATGGATAGTTCCATAAACCAATTTACCTTTATAAATTAGAACAGAGAAAGAACAAACATTGATGCAGAGTTGTATGTCGTCAGTTTTCATCATCTGCATACAACCTGTAACATTTAATAAAACAAGTGATAAGACATTTTTAACGTACTTTTGTTTATGAACAAGAATCGGTCTTCCAGTAGGGATTTTTTAAAGAATGGTATAGCGAAATGAACCTTAGGGATGATAAGTTATCTTAAAGTATTACAATATCATACTCCGCCTGTGTATCTGCGGAAGCCGTTACATTGACAGAATGCAGAGAAGGGACTACGTCAGAATAACGCTTCGGGAGCATTCAAATAGACAAAGTAGCCTAGGTGTTTGGTTTACCGAGACTATAGCAATAAAACATGTTTGAAACCTGGTTTACCTGCCCAAAAGGAGTCCATCGTGGGATTTAAAATACCTTAGTACCTCTTTGTTTTCTGAAGTCATCACTTTGTTTTTTTTCTTAGTTTTCGTCTGACTTAGACATCAGACTTTATTTCTGATCCTTTGAATTCTACTCAGTGTATTACATCACAATTTCTTCGTTAGACTTCCTACACACCTTATTCTATTTTGTCTAATTACTCAGTTATCAAACCTATTTTTAATGTTGCTAACCCTAACAACAAATTTATTCGTATCTTTTGCGAGGAATTATGCTCATTTCACTATGATGTTCTTAAACAATCCTTACTGGAGGGCTGGTTCCTGTAGTATTACAGCTTGTTTTACTATATGTTACTGGTTGTACTTAGTTGATGAGAAACGATAAAATTCAGTGGGTCCATTCTCTGAAGAACAGCTCATCTGACTACAAAAAGTTGGGTAATTAACTGGTGAATGTTTATGTAAATTTCCACTAATCACTAAATATTACACTGAATTTGTTTTCGCTATACCACCCATTAGTGGGAATTACTGTTAAATGACTGTCTCAAAACTATTTTTAATTATAGGATAGTGAAGTTCTGCATTCTCTCTCTCTCTCTCTCTCTCTATATATATATATATATACATATATATATATATATATACATAAAGTAGATAACAAAAAAACCATACAATATACTGTAGATACAAACGAAAGAATAGAGGAATACTCAGTAAACTGCACAAATAATAATAGTAATTACATACATGCATACTACCTTTAAGTCTCTCTATATAAAGCAAGCACTGCTGAGGAGTCTGAACAGTAATCAACTTAGCATCGATCCGTTTTGAAACCTATCTCTTAATTAATCAGTTTCCAATAAACCTTTCATGAAGTTTCGCAAACGTATTCAAAAGAAGTAAATACACACTGAATTCTGAACGACTGATGAAAATGTCTTGGATTATTGGACCTTGTTATGTGTTCAAGATCATTGGCATTGGTGTAACGAAATAACAAATTATTTTTATTTATCCTTTGGATTCCGAGTGAGACAAAGG